CCTTGGGCGTCGCGGGGGTCGTCTTCATGCCGCGGTTCGTGCCCTTGCCTTTGCCACTGCCCTTGCTAGGCTTGGGCGCATCCCCGAGGTGGTGGCCAGCCGACGCCGCTGCCTCCCTCATGCGGTCCTCGATGTGGCGCGCCTCATCGTCATCACTTGCATCGTGACCGTCGCCTGCGACTGGTGGAGGTGGGAGCGCAAGCATGCCGCCAGGGGCGGCAGCATCTGGCCGTGGCGCGGGCGGCGCCAACGGCGTCAGCGAGTCCTCCAAGCTGTCGCGCTGGGCAGCGCGGCCGCTATCCAGCGGCAACGTAGAAGCACTCAGTGAACCAGGGGATGCCGACCTTGCCCCCCCCCCCCAGTCTGGCCCAAGTGGTGAATGCGAGTAGCGTCTGCGCCTTCAGCTCCGCCGCGCGCTCCAGCTCCGCCGTGCGCTCCAGCTCCGTGAGCATGGCCAAGCATGGTAAGGGCTGGCTGGTTACCCATCATGCCAGTAAACGCTCCCATCAACTGACCGAGCATGGCGACAGCCGCTTGTTGACCGCCATGTGGGAGCGGCACCGAGGGCGGGGCCGACTTGGACCGCAGATCCTTGCGGGCCCCCCTGTAGCCCATCGCGGGGATCTCAAGCTCAACCTGCGCTGGCTGAAGTTCAGCGGGCGCAGGGATCGGAGGCTCGTCCTGGTACGCGAAGTCCCTGACATTCTGCGCGAGCACCTCTGGCGTGTGGGGGTAATTAGTGATATGGGCGAACGACCACCGCTGCCTGTCGAGGTGCTTGATTACGGTCTGGAGCTGCTTGCGCAACTCCTTCTTAGTGGTCACGTCCATGCTGCCAGGGCTGCTGTAGGTGAGAATGATCGCGACGCCCCGCTTGAGCAGGGATTCGCACGGGCAGGTGACGCCTATGCGCCACATCCTGTTGCCCATGCAGTTGATCTTGAAACTCAAGGTCAAGTCTGGACTGCCGAACACGCCCCAGTCATGCGCCGTGAAGAAGGCAGCCAAGTTGGGGCAACGCTGCTGCGCCCTCGCCCCTGACGAAGGGCGTGGAGCTGTGATGGCATCGGAGACAGCCTGGCACAAGCTGTTCCTCTGGGTAGGGAGCCACGGTCCAGTAGTGATGGCCGCAGTGACCACCGTGCCGTCGGCGAACGTCAGGCCCCTGGTTTGGGCGATGGTAGCCACGAGGGCGTGCGACTGCGAGCTCAGGAGGGCGTTGCGATCCATGCCTGCGGCGGCCTGGGCGTCCACGAACGCGACCCTCTGGTTGATAATGTCGACCAGCTGGGTAGCAAGGTTAGCGGCAGCTGGTGCAGCCATCCGTGCTGGTGAGTGGCACGACGTGGCACTGGTAGAAGCGGGTTGGCACGCGAACGCCTCTCACGTGAGCCAAAATGGGCTAAGATGAAGTCAAGGGTGCACGTGGTGAGGGGAAGACGGAGGGGGCCGATTGCATGCTTACCCCCTCGGCGTCCGTTTCGTTTGGCGTCGGGAGGCGGGGCCAGAACCAGAGCTATCGTCGGCGCGACTCGAGAGGTTGACGGCTCGTCGCAATCGCATCGAGGGTTCATTTCATCATTGGTCAGATCAGGGTGGGGCGGCGCCGTCGGGAGCACGAGAAGTCACAAGTCCCCCAACCGACTCTCGACTATAGTCACAGGTCGGCTGGGGGACCTTTGACTATAATCACAGGTCGGCTGGGGGACTTGTGGCTCCCCTGGGGGGCCACAAGTCCCCCAGCCGACCTTTGACTATAGTCACAAGTCCCCCAGCCGACCTGTGACTATAGTCGCAAGTCCCCCAGCCGATGTGTGACTTCGGCCCTCTCAGGTATCGCCTTCATCCCTGAGACGCCGTTGCCCGCCAGAAGGCTTGGCAACTCCCCAACGCTACGCTGTCAGCGAGCGCATGTGTGGTCTATTTCGACGGATTGGCAGCGCGCCCCAGACGTCAGGAGAAGGAGGATCGAGGATGGTGGAGGTGACTATGCAGGCGAGGACCGATGGGTGGAATGATGAGGATGCTCTGGTTTTTCTGTTGCTCGCGCGTGGGTGGACTACATAGTTCTGCCTTTGCCAAGGCTGCGTTCGGTGGCCGTGCGTTATGCACTGGCCGACTGTTGATTGCAACTGGAACCCCCTCGAGACTACACGTGAACGGCCTGACAATGAATATTGCTATCCCCTATGCCATGATGTTTGGTAGAACAGAGTGGTTTAGCAACATCTGTTGGTACTGAATGCGGCGCGCTGAACACACGCTGCGCTCGCGCCCGTGAGTCGTTCCTATACATGCGCTCCCACACTACTCGTCATCGGGAAGGTCCGCGTCAGACTGGTCCTTGAGGCTGTCGTCGTGGTGCTCGTCATAGAAGACCTGGAGCACCCTTGCGCCGCGAGAAACCCTCTCCTGGAAGTTCGGGCCCTTGGGGGCCCTCTCCATCTTCAAGCGCCACCTGGCCCCGTCAAACCACCGCGCGTACAAACTTGAGCGGCAACGCATCTACAACACATTCGGCTCAATGATCGTCGGGGCAAACTCAGGCACCTGAGGCACCATGGGCTTCCTTGTGAGAAACTCAAAGTTGTCTGTCCTGAGCTCCATGGTGAGCTTGGCCCTGGGGTTAGCTGTGGGGATGACCTTCATAGTGTGTGTGTGTGTTGTCAACGTCTTTGAGTTCGATGATGATGTACGGGTCAAGGTCATCGATCTGCTCCTTCCTCGGGCGCTTGTTCGGTCTGTGCTCCCCATCCTCATCGGTATCGCCGATGAGGCCGTTGATCGCAAAGTTCTGGCCGAGCAGGAACTCTGTCTTGACGTTCCGCAGCCTGATCGCCTCGTCGAGCATCTCGAAGTTGCGAATCAGATATGCAGCGAACTTGCATTCCAGCCGGTTGCACTTCACGAATTTCAGCCCGACTTTATCTTCTATCTCTGCGAACCACGAATTGGTGGACGTCGGCTGGCCCGCCATGGAGACGCGAGCGAAGCCCTCGACAATGGTCAGCGGCATTGCGCTGACAGCGCAGAACACTGATGGGCAGCGAAACGGCTTGAGCCAAAATGCTTACGTTGATGATGCCGCTGCTGTCACGTACCCTGGGCGAGTTCACGCGCAACCACCGATGCCGACATCTCCCCGACCAGGACTTGCACTGCACACGGACGGGCTACGACACCGCCGTGGGCCCAAGAGCGAAACGCGAAAATCTCAGCGCCCTCGCTGACGAAGGACCCGCCTCGCATCACAGCGAAAAAAATGAGGATGGGGAGGAGGAGGAGAGCATGCGAGGAGGAGGAGCAGGAGACGGAAGATGCGGAGGAGGAGAGGCAGGGATGGGAAAAGGATCATGAGGATAAGGGGGGAGGAAGGCGGGGCAGACACGGTGGCCCCAATGACCAGCGGAAGAGGAGGGCCCTGGCTCGGAGGTCAGGAACACGCGCAAGACAAATTGTTGCCGATTGGATGCGCGAGGACGGGAAGGATGAGAGGGATGAGGAGGAGAAGCGGGACGAGGAGCAGGGGACGGGGAAGGGCGCTAAGTGCCATGACCCTGTGTTATCGGATGGCCCTGTCTGGTTGTCGTCTCTTCTCTTGGCTCATGCGCTCCCATTCTCGTCATCCGGTTCCTCTTCATCCCCCTCTTCCTCATCCTCATCTTCCTCCTCCTCCTCGTCCTCTTTCTCTCTCCCTCCTCGACGCCCCCCGTCCTCTCTCTCCCCCGATCCTCCTTGACGTCCTCTTCCTCCTCCTCCTCCTCCTCCTCCTCCTCCTCATCCTCATCCTTCTCCTCCTTTACCGCTGACGCCGTCGTCGCCGTCGCTGCCGTCGCTCGGGGCTCGGGGCGCCTGCTCGATCATCCTTCGGCGAGCTGCAGAACAGGCCAGCCCCCAATGAGGCGGTGGAGGGCGCGGGTGAGGGCGATGGGAGTGAGATGTGCGCAGTCGTTGCTGCCTGTTCCATGTCCTCTCTCTCCTCTCTCTCTCTCTCTCTCTCTCTTTTTTTTCTCTCTCTCTCTCTCTCTCTCTCTCTCTCTCTCTCTCTCTCTCTCTCTCTCTCTCTCTCTCTATATATATATATATATATCCCTCCCTCGGGCTTCCAGACACACTGACGTGAGAGCCTTCTGCCCTTCCTCCTCCTCCTCCTCCTCCTCCTCCCCCTCTCTTCCTTCTCTTTCCAGATCCCCTCTCCTCCTCCTCCTCTCCCCCCCCCCCCACCCCCCTCCCACCCCCCCACCCCTCCCCAACCCTCTCAGAAAAAAAAAAAAAAAAAAAAACAGCAGCAGGGGCTAGGTGTTTTTACAAGGAGCACGGCATGAGCAGGCCCGACTGGGCAAGATGTAATCGGCAGCGCCGCCAGCGGTTCACAGCTGCCGCACTCGGCGCCGACAAAAAAAAAACAGCCAAGGACGTGGTAGCAACGATCCCGCATGCGGTGCCCACTTCTCGCTCGATCTACGCCCCCCTCATCTTCATCTTCCGTTGGGCTCTCCACCCGAACACACTCCTCTTCCTCGACCCCCTCCCTCCCTCCCTCTTCTCCCACGCTCATTCGACATGCTTATCTGATGCATTCCTTTCGTGGCGTTGATTGAAGTTGGCCTGCCGATTTCGAGCCCCCTGCAATCGTCTTCATCGTAACCATCGTCGGCAAGCCCCCCATCCTCTTCTTTCTGCCTTCTCCTCCCCCTCCTCCTTCTCACCCTCCTCCTCCCCTCCTCGTCCCCCATCCTCCCCTCCTCATCTTCCTTCTCCTTGGCTTCCTCCTCTATGTCCTCTTGCTTCCTCCTCTTCCTCATTTTGCTTGCAGTCCCCTTCCTCCCTCGGGAGGGGGGGGGGAAGGGGCACCGCCGTTGCAAGCTGTCCGAGGCTCGTCCAGCGCAGAGAGGGAGCTGGCCAACATATAGCAATCTATAGAACACTATAGAACTGTGCACACGGCAAAGAGGAAAGCGCTGCAGACACAATTGAGAGCCCGACCCACGCACTGGCGCCTAAGCGCCCTTCGACCGCTTGGGGGCAGGGCCAGCCTTAGCGCCTGGACGGAGCAGCGGGCAACCCTTCGAGATGACCTTAGTGTTTGTCAACACTGGGAGTTCTATCACGACGTCGGTGCCACCAGTCATGCCAGTTCGCGCAGACACCGAAATTTTGATGGCATCCATCTTCATGTTTGGCGAATCACTGTCTGTGGCGGTCGGCACAAGCCAATAGGGAATTAAACACGTGTGCTGGTCAAGCTTATCGGCTGGCGGGAGATCGACCTTCGGGCCGAGGTAAGCAGACTGAGACGTGCCCTCAAGCAATTTAGACAAATCAACTGGCAACGCTGATTGCTGGGGCTTGCTAGTGACGATCACACTGGGCGAAAACGGCACTAGACACAACTTTCCTTTTTCGTATTTCCTACCAGCGGTGATCGATTTCACACTCAACTTAGGCTTCAAGGAATATGTGACAGACACCTGAACGTTCGATTCATGCTCAGAGTAAGCGTGATGCACGGCACAGCGCAGCAGGGCCTTGGCGAGCTCAACCTTGCACTCGGAGAGCTCCTGGGCACGCGCGGGGTGGAGAAAGGAGAGGGGGGGATACAGAAATCGCTGTCGCTGATGCCTCCTCCTCCTCCTCCTCCTCCTCCTCTCCCGTCTCCTCCTCCTCCTCCTTCCCCTCTTCGTCCTCCGCCTCATCTTCCTTCTTCTCCTCCGCCTCACCCTCCCTCATGTTCCTCCTCTTCCTCCTCCTTCTTTCGTCCACGCCCTCCTCCTCCTCATCATCATCATCATCACCCCCCCCCCGTCCTCCCTCTCCACCTCAGCCCCTCCCCTCCCCCCTGCTATACATACAGACAGCTTCGCTGCCGCAATGGGCTCCTGGATCTGGAAGCCGTCGGAGCCGCCGACGCCCACCGTGAGGTCCACCGACTTCTTGGCAACCTCGGGCTGGCAGGGCCACCCACCAGGCCTCTTGGGGCCCTCCCCTCTCCTCGTTCTTCTTCCTCGCATTCTTGCTGCTCCTCCTCTTCCTCCCCCCCTACCCCTCCTCCCCCTCTCCTCGGCCCCCTTCTGTTCATTGGCAGCCTCTCCTGTCCCTCATCGGAGGCTGGAAGAACACGCATCTCGAAACGCGTGTAACCTGCTAAGACTAACCATCAACAACACATGGCAACACAGAGAAACACAGAAGAGCAGCCTTGAACTCGTCGGCGAGCTGACCCAGGGGGAGCTTCAGCATGGACTTCTTCTGGCCCGCGATCAACTCCACCTCGACCGAGTCGCCGCCGATGCCCTTGACGGCGTACGCGTTGCCATCGTCACCAGCGGCTCTCTCGAGGAGGGCACCGACCACATACCCCATCTCGTGCAGCGACGCTGCCGACAAGACAGCTGCTGCTCCCTGAAACTCTCGGATGCCACTGCGCTTCTCGCCATCTCCTGATCCTGGCTTGCGCGTCGGCTCGACGTAAGACCACGGAGCCTGAAGAGACCGAGCACACGGGGCAAGTGCGTGGACGTCGCCGAGGAAGGTGCTGCAGACCTCCTGCGCTGTCTTGTACTGGACCTTCCCCTTGTTCTTCTTACCGTGGATCACCATGCAAGTTCGCACCTCCGCGTCGCCGACGAGCTTCGCCTTTTGCGAAGGTGTCAGGCCCTTGACGGTGTCCAAGAACGCCCTGGCCTTGACGAAGTCCGCGTTGGCCGAAGCGACGGTGCCTCGGTTCTTGGAAATACACTCCGTTAACTCAGCGCCTGTCCAGATCTTGCTGATGTTAATTTGCAGTAGTTCTCTGGGGCCGCCATGGCAGTCTTGGCCAGCGCGTTCACGTAGAAGGGACATGACGTCAGCGACAGAGATGCCAGCAACGTCCACGTCTTGCCATCAACGTCCCTGCGAGTCCTCAGCTGGCCAGCGAACTCCCGCATATCATGGAGGAGTATTGGGTTCTCACCGCCTGACCACTGGCGCACGTATGCGCACATCCCCGTGGCGTTGCCAGCCTCGACCTTCTGCGAGCGCACGACGTCCGTCTCGATGGCATCCCAGCATGGATCACCGTGGACATCGACGTTCGACTGCGCCATCTGGTGGATCATGAGAAGGGACTGAACAGCAGTGGTCTTCCGGCGCGTGTCGTTCGAAGCATTGCCAGCTTCTTGGACTACGTCTGCGAACAGCGGGCAAGCGAGGTCAACCTGGTACCGTACGATCGTCCACTCCATCCCGCTCTCTAACGGAAGCTCATACGACTTACACATCGCAACTACTTTGTCTCTTGAAAGCCTGCCCTCGCTGTCAGCGTACTCGTCCAAGGTAGTTTTGCAGCCGTGCTTCACCGCCCTGACGCCAGCGATGGTGTGGCTGCCAGCCAGTGTCAGGTACCGCAAATCATGTTTGTGCAATTTCGCCAGCATCCCGTCGCTCCTGCTCACGAGCTTCTCTTGGAACTGCCATTGTTTCTCGAATTGGTCGCCAGTGCCAACTTCCATAGCTAAAGCTCCTGCCGTTTGCGATTGCATCCATCCGATTCTCAAGATCTTGCCTAGCAAAACGTGTACGTCCAGGGCGTCCAGGCCCGCGCCCCAACGATTTCTGGGGTGGGGCCCGAAGGAGTCACATGAGCGAACGGTGTCCTTATACGCGAGCCCACACGCCAACAGGTCATTGATGATATTGTGAACGACGCTCTTGATCTGCTTATCTGTTGGATTCACAGTACTGCGTATCTCCTGACACGAACGGTTGATCATCGGTGCAAGGCGGTCGAGGTGTGCCTGCAATTCTGGACTCAAGGTCCCCGAAGCCTGCGCGTCGCAAGCCATGGGACAACTGGAGGTTCGCGGGCACGAGTTGTGCTGAAGCCTGAAAAAGGGGGCGTTTGCCCAAAAATGGCTATGATTTCACGCCAAAGTTAGGGGAACCCTCAGTGGATACGACCTCTGATTTTGAATGTGCAAACCTGGACATTGCGGCATCGATAACCAAATCCTCAAACACTGCCTCCTGATTCTCCCCTTCCTCCTCCTCCATCCCCCCTCCTCCTCCTTCTCCTGCCCCCAGGCCCACGGAAACCCAGACTGGCTAAGTGGACTTAGCGGAGATAGCTAACCTCAGGTTAGTGGGCTGTTGCTAACCAGGTTACCGATTCCCTAACCTCACTTACCTAACCAGGCTATCTCGGATACGGCACTCACATAACATATATACAATCCTTCTCGGAACTCGCGTGGACCCCTCAAAGTAAGTTGGCTGATTAGCTAACCGCGCTATGCATTTCAGTCACTTCGCTAAAGGAGTTCGGAGGATGAATCTTGGTTCAGTCACTTAGACCAGGATATATACAATAAGTAACTCGTGCTATCCATACTTAAAGCTACTTCAAACCAGTTCCGAAACGCGCAAACCAGTTAGGAACCACCGCGGCGATCCAAGTATAGACATACGACGTCCGGAATTTTTCAATGCGGGGTCCCTGGAAGCCTCGACCCTTTCCCTGGGCCCGGTTTCTCATCCTGCGTCGTTGCCTGACGGTCCCGAGACCCAGCGAGGGCCCCCCGAGGCCGAAAAACGTGCCAAAAACCTCCCGCCCTGACTTCTTTGTACGATTAAGTCGGGCCTGTCCCCCAACAGGGGGATTTTCGACGAAATGAAAAAAAACCCAAAATTGACAAAAAATGATACCAAAAAAGTATGGGGACTATTTTTTGGTATTTTGTTACCTTTTTGCTATATTTCTGGGGTATTTTTAACTTTTCGTCGAAGCTCCCCCTGTAGGGGGGCAGGCACGACATAAAATTGTACGACGCGATCGCGTCCGGGAGCGGGTCTGGGCCGCGCTCCTCCTCCGCCGCCCGCGCGGGCCTACGGGCAGCGCCGGGCGCCGCGCCGGCGCACCCCGCCGGGGCGGAGGCGCTGCGGCGCCGCCGGCACGGCGCGCCGGCGCGCGGCTGCAGGCGGCCGAGGCTCCCAGCGCAGGCCGCCGGCGGGCCGCAGGGCCGCGGCCAGCCTGCGGGGGGCGCGGCGCCCCCCGCGGGGCGGGCCGAGACCCCCCTCGCGCGGAGGTCCTGGCGATGGCAGCTTCTCTCGCGACGGGCGTGCTCGCGCTCCCTCTTTTCGGGCCCCCCGCGGGGCCCTCTCACAGATATCGGTGCGGCTCGAAAAAAAAAAGGACGCAGAAGGGTGGGGTCCGGGGCTCTGGCCGCGATGGTGTGCCATGTTGCATCCCAGACATCCGACGTCTCGATTTTTTCGAGACACGGGCCCCCGACCTCCCGACCACTTCCTCGGGACCGGCTTTTCACTCCGAGTCGTTTTCTGACGGCCCCGAGGCCCGGCGAGGGCCCCGAGGGGCCGAAAACGACGAGAAACCTCCGTCTCGATTTTTTTCGAGACGCCCGATGCCTGGAGGGGGAGGAGGAGGAGGAGGAGGAGGAGGAGGAGGAGGAGGAG